ATAGAATATCCACGTTTAGTGCACAAGCTCTAGGAGAACTATACGTACATTTCGAATGAGTACTGTAAAATCTGTATTAGAAGCCGCGGCTTCTATTAAAATGGTACAATGCAACAGAGGGGATGCGGCTTCTATTAGAGCATCTACACATATGAGAAATGATGAATTTTTGGTTCTCAATTATTCAAATAGAATGGATGCGACTTCTATTAGGGATGCGGCTTCTAATACAGATTTTACAGTACTCTTTGTGACTATGATAACATTCAGAATCGAGAATCGTCATTTATCGTTTTCACTGTTGTGTGTGAGTAAGCTTGGGTCCCGGAAAAAAAAGTGACGAAAATTCTAAAGTCATTATTTTAAAATACATTATATTATGAAAAATACTACCAAATGAATTTTTAGTATACTACTGTGCATACTTATGACGGTTGTATGTGATTTGGGGGCTTATTAGAGTAAAATTGATCGGTGTGTTTTCGGGTCACTGTATTTTGTTTAAAGTCTACACTTTTTTTTTGTATACGCCGTAAAAATCGTTAAAAATGTATTCAACATTTTCCGCCAGTTTCATAAAATGCCTGTTTAATTGATCTTGTCTGTCCTTGTTTCAGTTTTTTAGCAAATTGTTCATGTTGCAATATTCAGCATGCCGTTAAATGCGGTTTTAGTCAACACAAAATCTTTTGGACACGTTGAACTCTCGGTACAACTTTCTAGCAGTCTCTTCGCCAAAATAAATTTTTCGAACCCTTTTTAACTGTTCTTAATTTCATTGGAACTGCCTGTTGTTGCATATTTGGTCTGCTTACATGCATTTTGTAGGGCATGGACGGGTTATTTCAGTTATCTTATCGCATGGCTGAAATATAAACATTTGTATGGTTTCTTTGACATCTTTTTTCTGATCATGAGTTGTTGGTTTTTTTATTTCAGTTTTCTGCTGATTTTGTTTTTAGAAACGAAAATGACATACAAGACTGTCAAATTTGTATTGAGTTTAAACTGAGCGACAGGTTTTGTCAGGATTCACTGGAACAACTTACACTTTTTTAACTTAAAGCATCGACAAAATGGCGTGCAGTTGTTGATTGCAATGAACTCTGGGGGAAAATGATGTCATATTTGCGTGATTTCCTGTCTACATTTTATGTATGATTAGTCTATCTTTATCACAGATTAGAACGTCTTTTGTTTCAAATGTTTACCCGTGACATGCATCCAATGAAAAGAACATGGTTTGTTTCCTAACCGTCTTTTTTAGTAACCGTGTACCAACCATTGGCATTTAGTTCAAACTTTACAGACAGAATCTTTAAAGGACTGACTTGATCACAACACAAATGTACTCACACACATTGATCTGTCTGTGTTTTAGTAATTAAATCTTCTGTTGAAGGAACAAAACAGTTATGGAAAACTTTTATCAAAGAGTTTACCTTTTTCTGTATTTTCCATTTTTGTATTCCAATTTTCTTTTTATCCAACAAGGCGAGGTATTCCTGATACCAATTCTCATGTTCTTTCACTTCCAGCATTGTGCGACCTGGGAGTGAATTGAGTGCCACGTCTAAAAATGACTGTTTACCCTACAAATGAAATAAACATGTGAAAGGTACATAACATCAATGACAAAAATACTGATAACGATAAACACATGTTTGGGCAAAGTCTCTCCACAAGAGAGGACTGTGGTTTGGGTCAAATTGCAGACATGAATGAAGTACATAAAGGGGAACCGCTCAATTCCATGGATTGCACCAAAGAATCATGGGACATTATTGTTTATGTTGTTTACAATGTTAATCTATCTTTTGTTATCCATTGTTATTTTGATCCAGAAAGTAAACTTGTTGTAAGATTAGGCTTAACTGGAAGGTGCCCCTTTAAGGAATTTGTTTTCTGAATGAGTGTGATGCTTCAGAACATTCTTTGTAGTGGCAAATAAATTTGACAGGTCCACACTTGTGATAATAGGCACTAAAGTAACTATTCAAGACTGAGGGTATATGGTGAGGGTTTGGGTTAAAGCATGGCTCCACAATCCCAGGTATTGCACCAGTGCATCATGGGAAATGTAATTTGCATGGTCTACCCAGTTGTTTACTTGGTACACAGCTGTTAAATTTCAACTGGAGGTGTTAATTTCGTAAGCTAACATCGTACATTATGCTATTATCTGATTTCAAAGGACCCATTGAATAGCGTTATTCAATGCTCATGGGGCTCACGAAATCTTTTGAAAGCAGTTGGGCTCCTTATATAGTTCTGTGCGCATACAGTGCAGTGTCATAAATTAATTGTGTTTTTTTGAATGACCTGCACAATGTAGTTATCGCACAGTACAAATTAAAAAAAAAAAAAAAATTTGTGATACGGTTCTGTGGCACGGGCATACCCAGTTGCCCAACACCCAATATGTGCACGACTCATATGTTACAAAAAGGTCTTGAACACTGACAATGTTTTCAGTCACCAATCATTTTACTGTGTGTACTAGTATGTATTTCAGGGTACATAACTTTTTTATTTATTTCGAGACACATTTGTACTTTGTCGGGAACGTCATATATTAAATTTGAGAAATAGACTTGACATATTGTTGGGAACACATTTGTTAACGAGCACCTCAAAAGGACTCA